TCTGCGGGCGGCCCGCACCTGCTCTCCGAGCCCCCGGCCGGTCCGGGTCAGGGGCGCGAGAATGGGTGGGCGTGTGTTTTCAAGCTCGTGGTTCTTCCTTTAAACGCCGGTTAGCGTTTGAAAGCCCGCGGTGCTGGTTGGAGTCTGTCAGTCAAGGCGCACTCGCGGCCGTAACCCTTGGTAACCGGTCCCCGCAGCCCTGAAGAGGGCGCGCTCCCAGGGACCCGGCCCGTGCGAACGCCCGGAGGTGCGGGGGCCGCGCTGCCGCAGCTCCTCGTGCGCCCCGGGACCTGCCCGGCCGGGGGTACTGGGGCGCGGAGGGCACAGAGCGGACGTGCGCGGAGAAGGCACTGCTCCCGGAGGAGCCTGTGGCCGCACCGCATCCCTGAGCCTGCCGCGGGTCCCTCGCGCCACCGGAGTTGTTGCCCAAGTTCATTTCTACTGTGACTAGTGCTGCCGCTTACTAGGTGCTTAACTCGCTGAGGCTCCTTAGAGGCTGAGAATCGGTAGGTGTTTACAAGCCAGCTCTCGGGGGTGAAAACGTGGCCCGGATGTGTAGTGCTTGCTGACTTCTGTGGTATAAACACTCCTGCGTGGCCAGTATTTGAGGGGAAGAGGGATAAGCGCAGGTGGTCGCAAAGCCGGGGGACTAGAATGGTCAGCATGCCCCCAGGTGTCAGGTGGGATCCTGAGGGTCTTTGTGGATGAGCTCATTTTCGGGCTTGTTCAGATAGGAGGAGTGTCACCAACCAGGTATGAACTTTGTGCATGTTCTCCAGACCCTGGGGTTCCCATCCCCTGGGAAGTCTCCCTGCCACCTGATGGACCGTGGTCTGTACCTTCTTCCTGTGCTTTAGAACCTCTCTGGAAGCTCCAAGAAGTTTACCCAGGTCTGTACCTGGGAGGATGCAGAATATTAGGAAATGTGCAAGTACATGCAAGCTGAAGTTTGAGAGTCACTGCTTAAAAGCTTGGGCTTTGAGGCTCGTGTTTGGCCAGGATAACGAGGGGATTGTGGCCAGTTGTATTCCATAAAGGGAATCTAGTGGTGCAATTCCTGTTCCTCCGCAAGTACATGGAGTGGCTGTGTTAGACTGACGTGGGTGGTTTAGTCTCCCATTCAGAGCCCTGGGCCTTGCCACACACGCGGTGGTGGGTCTGGTGGGAGAGGAGAAAGAGATGGAAGTACAGCAGCCCTGCCCTTAATTGGGCACTTCCTCTGGGCTGAGTGCTTCCATACCTTAATTCGGAGCTCAGAGCTCAAACCCTGCCCTTCTCCACCTGAATGGGTGAGAGGGTAGGCTTCAGGGAGAGGCACACACGGAACATCTTGCCCTGCCCTCTCAGCTCTGTGACCTTGGGTAGGCAGCTTAACCTCTTCACTTTTCAGTTTCCTGACTTACAAAAGGGAAACGATAATACACACTTGTCAGGTATCTTCACAGCCTTGAGCAGATCTTCCAGTCACTCATTTTCATTAGCTAGGTCAACCCCCCCAGAGGCTTGGGAACCTCTCCCCACCAGGAGAATGCACTTCTGGCCAGGAGGAGGAGGGAGTAGAGCAGCATCCCAGTACTCGAGCTCTGAGCCCTCTTCTCATGTTCTAGGAATTAAGCGACTTGCAAAGGGATCCTCCTGCCCAGTGGTCCGCAAGACCTGTGGGAGATGACTGTAAGTACCTTTCATGCTCCAGATCACAGGAGGCATACAGTCAAGTCCCAGAAATGTATTAGCCCAACAGTTTCTTAAGAAAAGCTGTTTTCCCTAATTTGCCTGTGAATTGCCTTTTCATTAGACGCATTGAGTTCATAGTCTTGCTGATCTGGATGGTGCCTGAAATCACCACCTCCCTCCACTGGGCACCAGAAAGCCGTCATGTCCTAAAGCACACTGGCTTCTAGGAAGTGCCTCTGACCAACAAAAACTTACGTTGTTGGTGTAAAAGTGGTTATGAAGGTAGTGGTGGAGGACCTGCTGATGAACTTGGGGTGGCTCCTGGCCTCTGCCAAGGGAAGGGGAGTAAAAGTAGCCTGAGATGCCAGAGAGGGCACCAGGCATGATGTGCAGCAAGGGAAGAGAAGGGAGAGCAAGAGAGGCTCATCCTGGCCATGTCACCGAGTCCCCAGAGCACGGACACTGCCAGCGGCAGTGTGGGAGAGGGCACCATGGAGGGTGGCCCCACTGAGGCTCCAGGGCCATGGGCATTGGCTCCTGAAAGAGACCCTTTGCGGAGGGCTTCAGTATGAACCCAGGGGAGGAGGAGGGAGTGGAAGAGATTGATAACCAATAATATGAAAAGTGCTTGAAACCTACCTAAGGCTTAATTCCATACAGAGAAGAGTAAACTGTTGGTAGTAAAGAATCTAATTCTGTCAAAGAAGGCCTGGCCTTTGTCCTCAGCCTCTGGGAGGTGATTTCTGAGATGTCCTGCCTGTTAGGACTGTCTTTGCCTACCCGAGACTTTGACCCACACTGACCATGTTTCTTAGGGAGGGGGCTGGCCACATCAGAGAAACCAGCCAGGTGGTTTACGGGAGGGGCTTTGGGTCCTGCCCAGAGGGACTGGACACTCAGATCAGCCATGTGAGTGGTCCTTTTATCAGTTGTCACTGATGAGCCTCCCTAGTGATAAACCATTAACAATGAGCACTGAGCACAGGTCTCCTGGGAGTCTGGGGGCTCCTGGGCTGCACTTGTGTCAGGAGGGGCTCCTGGGGTGGAGTTAGACACCTTATGGGGAGTCTCTGACACCCTCCCCTTTTGTCTTGCAGGGTTCTGCTGGCAGGCCACCATCACTGGCCCGGTAGGTAGGAGCTGCTGAACGCCACCCTGCACACTCCCTCCCTTGACACTTCTGTGGGCGCTAACCTGCCTTCTGTGTCTCGTCCTTCCAGAATGACAGTCCTTACCAAGGAGGCATTTTCTTCCTGAACATCCACTTTCCTACAGATTATCCGTTCAAACCCCCGAAGGTGAGGATGGGTCAGAGTGGGATGAAGGGGCCTTTCAAGTCAGTGGTGCAGAAAACTGCACACGGGGCTGCTCCCCGGTCCCTGCACATCTGCATGGTCACAGCCCCCAACTTTACACCCTGGACTCCAGTCCATCCCTATGGATAGTGCTTCCCCTGAAGCCATGGTAGACGGTGCTTTTCGTGGTTGTACTTGAGTCTGGCCCCTTCTCTGCAGTCCCTCTCAGTTTAGACCAGGGGTCCTCAGCCCCTGCCCCAGGGACATTGGAGAATGTCCTGGGATATTTGGGATTGTAGAAACAGGATGGGTGGGGAAGGGGAATTGCTACTGGTGTATAAGGGATGGAGCCCAGCAATGCTGCTCATACCTACAGGGCACAGGACCCCTGAATGTCATTGGGACCCTGGCAAGTCACCACCCTTCATACACATACCATGCCAGCAGTGGGGCCTTAGAGGGAGGACAGTGTCACCAACAGGAGGAAGAAGGCGGGAGGGTCCTTTTTCACACCCCTGGCCAAGCAGGGCTGCCCACCACTCACCGGGCACCAAAGGCCTGAGGCAGAGCCCAACCCAGAGGAGTCCTGCCTCTTAATGGAACAGTTCTGTCTGGGTGGACAGCACTGAGGAGAAGCACAGAGCAGCAGGGTGGGTGGCAGCGGGGGTCGCCCTAAGCATGTCAGGGATCACAGGGTGGGGAGAAGGGCAGAGGGGCCCAAGGAGTTGTGCTCTGAGATGGAGGCTAAGCAGGGTGGAGATGACAGCCGGCGGCTACATGGAGCTGGGGAGAAGAGTTGGATTCTGGGTGCTCCACAGTAGAGCCAGCAGTATGGGCTGCAGGTCAGAGGTGGTCACAGCAGTCTGTGTGGGTTCACATCACTTTAAATTGTTCATGTTCCTGATTATAAAACTGGTAGATTGATTATTTTAAAATTAGAACATTAGGGAACTAGTGTGCAGATGGAAATATAGGTCTCATTACCTACCCGTAGAGAATACCACAGCTAACTGCCAGTATACATTCCTCCAGGTTTTGTCTGCATATACCATACAGAGTGGGCAAAAGTAGGTTTACAGTTGCTCATATGGAAAATAATACAATAATTAATGAAAATGCAAGAATAAACTGTTTTGAGTACTCACAACTGTAAGTCTACTTTTGCCACACCCTGTATATATTTTCATTCTAATTTTTAAATAAAATTATCAATTCTGGCCGTGAATGATGAAACCAGAGCCTTGAGAGGGCACATCATTTCCTGAAAATGGCTCATAGTGGAGGGTGGGCCTTAGGCCAAATGTGTCAGCTGATTCTTTAAAATTGTTTTCAATTACAGTTGACATTCAATACTATGCTAATTTCAGGAGTACAGAATAGTGGGTAGACATTTATATAATTTACAAAGTGTTCCCCCCGATACATCTAATACCCACCTGGCACCATTCATAGTTATTACAATATTATTGACTATGTTCCCTATCCTGTACTTTACAGCCCCATGACAATTTTTTAACTTTCAATCTGTACTTCTCAATCCCTTCACCTTTTTCACCCAGCCTCCCACACCCCCTCCATGCAGTGTCCAATCTAAGCCCCATTACTCAGGAGACTTCCAGTGCTGCTGCTTGTCACTCTTCAGAGCCCACTGCCTTGGAGGAGGTGGTGTCAGTCCCCCATGTTTAGAATGAATGGGTCAGGGGACTTCCCTAGGCTGCCCTGCCTGAGTCCTGTCAGGGTTTGGGGTGGGGGGCCCAGCTCACCCAGGACTGCAGAGCCAGGTACTGCCCAGCAGCAGCCACTTCTGCCTCCCTCGGTTCATTTTCCAGATGGATACTGTCTGGAATGTCCCCGTGGCCTGTTTGACTTGACGTCTCTTGTCTCTGCAGGTTGCTTTCACGACCAAAATTTACCACCCCAACATCCACAGCAATGGCAGCATCTGTCTCGATGTCCTGCAGTCCCACTGGTCTCCATCACTGACAGTGTCCGAAGGTACTGCCAGGCTCTGACAGCCTCACAGGCCCTGTCCCACAATGTGGCTCTCACAGCAGCGTTTCTGCCCCCACATCCCTGGGAGGAAGCAGACTCAGAGCAGGAAGCTTCCCACAGCTCCTAGGGGAGGAATTAGGTGATGCTGTTCCAGCCCCGACCAAGTCCACATGGATCAGTTGCTGTGGCGAGCTCCCGCCAGACCCTTGCATGAGTGAAAGAAGAAAGCACTCATCCTGTACCTGTTTCTCTAGAAATAAGAAAGGCAAATATCACATTACTTTCTCTACCCTCATTTATTCAGTCATTCAACATGGATCGTGAGCCAGCCCTGAAGGAAGGAGGCACAGGCCTGTCCCCTGCCTTTCAGTCTTGGAGAACCCCCCACCTCCAGAGCCGTGTGCTGAGCACAGGTCTCTTCATGGGGTTAAAGAAACCAGTCTACACGGGACTTCAGAAATGCACATACTCCTTCTGAACTAAGAAGGGCTGAAACTGAATGTAAACAGTCTGAGTGTCCTGTCAGTGGAGTGGCCAGGATGGTGAAAAAAATCATCCCAGAGAAACAGGGTCCCAGAGCCCAAGAAACAAGCAGAGGGGAGTATGAGGCAAAACAGGCAGCTGAGCTTGGCAGGCAGCCAGGTGGAGGGGCTGGGAAGCACCAGCAGCTGGAAGGACAGGCTTTCAAAGACTGCATGATGAATCCAGAGGGAAAGCTACCTACTGGAATGTTCTGAATTCTCATTTCCTGATTAGTAAACAGGCCCCTGGGAACAAACACCAGAGTGAGTGGCAACTACGGCTTCCCTAGAACAGGAGGATGGCACCCTCAAGCAGCTGTGTCTGGGACTGCTCGGGTTCAGCCGTTAGATGAGGAGAGATAATACTTTCATAACTATTGGGGTGTCCAGAAGAATTCAGATAGAATAGAGCGTGAGTGGGGGGCTCACCAGACCCAGTGACCTGGTGGCCTCACGGCTGACCTGGCATCTCTTCTCTTCCCAGTGCTCCTATCCATCTGTTCCCTGCTCTGCGACCCCAACCCTGACGACCCTCTGGTGCCAGAGATAGCCCACACCTACAAGGCCAACAGAGAGAAGTACGCATCCTCTTTAGTTTCCTTAGGGCCTCGGTGGTACCCACCCTGAGCTGGTGCCTAACCAGGTTCCCGCAGACATCTTCCTGCCCTGCCCAGGCTGGGGTGCAGGGTCCCTCTGCTCAGACTCCCAGCTCCCTCACTCACTTACCCTCTGGCTCTGAGAAGGGAGGGGGAGGAAAAAGCAGTTCACCCTCCTGGGTAGCTCATCAGCTGCTGTTCCCGAGCCCTAAAATAGTGTTGCCAAGCCTGCCTTTGAGGTCAGCAAGTCAGAAGAATCTGACAAGAAAATGCTGGAATAGGTTCTAAAGTTTATAGCATAAGACAGGGTGTCTTCTCAGTTATGCCAGGGTAAGGCCAAGGCCAGTCAAGGCAGGAACTCCGCTGTGGTCAGTCTCGTGATTGAGGCTCAGCAGTCAGCACCATGTTACTGTTTTACTGATAGACCCTCATGGCTAACCCTATTTTTGTTTATTTTTTGTTCATTCGTTTTTTTAGATTCCACGTATAAGTGAGATCCCATGGTATTTGTCTTTCTTTCTCTGATTTATTTCACTTAGCATAATATCCTCCAGGGCCATCTGTATTGTTACAAATGGAAAGATTTCATTATTTTTTATGGATGAGTAATATTTCATTGTATATATACCACGCCTTCTTTATCCAGTCATCTATTGATAGATACTTAGGTTGCTTCCATATCTTGGCTATTGTAAATAAAGCTGCCATGGCCCAGCCGATATGGCTCAATGTTTGAGCGTCGACTTATGAACCAGGAGGTTACGATTCAATTCCTGGTCAGGGCACATGCCTCGGTTGCAGGCTTCATCCCCGGTAGGGGGCGTGCAAGAGGCAGCTAATCAATGACTCATCATTGATGTTTCTATCTCTCCTCTTCCTCTCTCTGAAATCAATAAAAACATATTTAAAAATATAATAAAGCTGCCATGAACATAGGGATGCATTAGTGACATTGAGCATCTTTTCATATGACTATGGGCCACCTGTAAGATCATTTTGAATGAGTGTGTCACCTCTTCTGCCGTTTTCTTCCAGGTACAACAAACTAGCAAGAGAGTGGACACAGAAGTATGCTATGTAAGTGCCTTGGAGGCTTCACAGGAGATGCTGTTCAAGAGAAGCTAGCCAGGCAGAGAGGCCCTTCCATGAAACTGAGCTCCTGGCTGAGCCTCTCAAAAAGTGTCATCTCTTCTATGATCAAATACTGGCTGCACTTTCTCCAGCTGCAGCATGTTGGTGCCACTCTCAGTCATGGTGGCTTTGACACCATCACATCTTTGATGCCAAATCAGTAGTTACTGTTACAATCTACAACCTTCCTGGCTATACTAGAATTGGTCCCTCCACCCTGACTCAATGCTGGACTCCGGGGGGGACAGTGTGCTGTCACCTACCCTGCCCGGCCTCACTCGGTGGCCTCTCTTGCTGAGGCACCCCACACAGCCTGGCCTTCACCTTTTGGAACTCAGTGCCAGCCTGAGTGTCCAGGGCAGAGCGAGCAGGCGTTCCTCACGTTCTGTCTGCCATAAATCGTCCCAAGGAGTCTCAGCTCATCCTAGGAGGCTCCTGGGAGTTGGGAAGAGAGACCCTCACACCGAGAAGCAGTGAACAGAATGTCAGGATAGAAAGCAAAGAACACCCAGGAGAGAGGACTGTCTTTTCAGAAGCAAGACCTGGAGAGGTTTGGGTTTTGCCTTTCTATGTGAAGAGGTTTTTTACCGCCTACCTCCCCCCTCGGAGCCTACACTAAGTCTAGTGTGAGCCATCCACAGGCTAGAGCACAGGGACAGGGAGAGACTTTTAAATGTAAATAAAAATGTACTTCACGCATAACTCTAAACAGTAAATTACTTGTCTACTTTTCCCCCAGGCAGAGCATAAAATACGGAAACTTTTAACAGGTTCTTTGGAACCTTGACTTAAAACAGCCTGTTGAGTGACTGGCCACCTCTTAGGTTTCTAAGGCAATACATTTTAAGGGCTGCCCTTAGAGCTCAGAGCTTTGGGATTAGGTTAGCTAGGAGGGCAGGCGGATTATTCTAATCAGCCTATGCCGCGCCTGGCTAGCTCAGTTGGTAGAGCATGAGACTCTTATTCTAATCAGCCTCACAAGAGGGAGGAAATTTGAGGGGCTTCAAACCTAAAGTCAAACCTGACCTGTTCTTTTCTAAGTGGTCTCCTCCTCCCGGGACAGCCATGGAAGTAACTTGGATGAGTAGGAGCAGGGGATGAAGCATGAAACTCTGCCACCAAGTGGCCATATGGGGCCTGTGCAGGCCAGGATCAAGGACAGGTGACCACAGGAGGCCAGCCTGCTCCAGGAGTTCCCAGTTGTCACAGTTTCACTGCCTAGGCTCCCCAGGCAACAGTCTGAGCACAGTCTGCATTTATGGGAGTCCCCATTTAGGACCCTAATAACAGGCAACTTTTGGGGTTCCATGGGCCCTGTTCCCTGCCTGTCACCATGGTGAGGACCGCCTTTTTAATTTTTGTCTCTTTGCCACCCCTTTGGTCTTTGCTTCAACAAAATGTTAAACCTTTATAGACAGGCGAATGCCATTATCATGTCCCCTGGGAAGGATGTCAGTGGTCACAGTGCCCCTTAGCCAAGGGTCACAAAGCACAGGAAGATGGGGTAGACTCACATTTCAGAGACAAGTCAGAGGCTTAGAGGGAAATCCCAGCCCAAGCTGGTATGGAGACCATGGGTCACTTTCAAGTGTAATAGCTTAGGACTCCTAGAAGCAGATGAATTTCCTGAGTTCAGTCAAAATTTCCCCACCCCTGCTCTCCCTGCTGAAGACGTGGTAGAGAACGTGAGGTCAGCCCCTTGGGATCCCAAGTATAATTGTCTGCCCTTTGCCAGTTCAAGTTGTGCTCTATACCTGCCAGACCCTTCAACAGGCCCAATCCCTGCAAGTCCCCTGGAGTGTCTTCCCCTGGGAAACTCACCCACTTGTCAGGCCTGAAGAATGGATTTCTCAGGTCAAAAACCTTACTTCAAGGTGCCCTGTGCTGTGGGAGCTCCCATGCAACCCATGTGTGCAGACTTCATGTTTCCCAGGTGGGCAACTGGACAGCAGATCCAGAAAGCCAACTGGGGGTGATGTGGCTTTTTCCTTGTCAACCAGACGTCAGGGAGATGAGTGATCTTAAGCAATCGACCCACTGTGAACAAATGACTGTTAATACGGCCAGAAGCATCTGGGTTTGTGGGATAACACTGAGATCGTGTTTTATGTTAGGCTCTAGGAACACCCAGGAGTTCCAAGAATATGGCGAAGGGTCAGCATCTTCTGACCAGAGAAAATACAACTCAGAGCTGAAACTGTTTCCACATCCCCTCACTGCAGATGCTTACGAGGTTTCTGTCTGAAGTTCAGGAGACAGTTTCCTTAAGTGCCAGACAAGTGTTTGCAGGACAGGCCTACAGAACTCCTGGCCTGCGGTCTGTCTCTGGTAACCAAAGGGGAGCAAAGAAGCCTCAAGATCAGCCTGGCTGGTGTTGCTCAGTGGTTGAGTGTCCATCCATGAACCAAGAGGTCACCAGTTCGATTTCCGGTCAGAGCACATGCCCAGGTTTCAGGTGCAATCCCCGGTAGGGGGTGTGCAGGAGGCAGCCGATGGATGTTTCTCTTTCATCAATGTTTCTATCTCTCCCTCTCCCTTCCTCTCTCTCTAAAATAAGTAAAAACAACAACAATAATAAAATGAAGCCTCAAGATCAGCGTGGGCCTCTTGTATCTCCTGCCCCACAGGCCCTCCTTCCTGTGCCTCTTGTCACTGTGACACACTCTTCCTCCCCAGTATACTGAGTGATGGCCGGCCCTGGATTAGACCTAGTCATGACTGCTGGCCCTCTGAGGATGTGAGGACATGGCAGACAGCACCCCACGAGGGCAGATGCGCTCCCTCACTCATTGTCCTGTCTTCCCTGGCCACTCTGCCGGCCTTGTCATCCCTAGCACCTAGGTTTCTCCCTGTTGACAGATTTTATTAATAAAATCACAAAGCTATAAAGAACATGCAAAACCTCCTATCAGACTAAATAGCAGCTTCTTAATTTTCCTTAAAATGTCTCCTTCCTGCCCGGCCGGGCGTGGCTCAGCGGTTGAGCATCGACCTAGGATCCAGGCAATCGGGGTTTGATTCCCAGTCAGGGCACATGCCTGAGTTTCAGGCTCCATCCCCAGTCGGGGGTGTGCAGGAGGCAGCCAATCAATGACTCTCTCATCATTGATGTTTCTGTCTCTCTCCCTCTCCTTTCCTCTCTCTTAAATCAATAAAAGATATATTTAAAAAAAAAAAAAAAGGCTCCTTCTCCCAGACCTCCATTCCCCGCCTTCTTCAGGCAGAGGCAAGGGGGGCAGGGCTGCCACCCTTGTGTGGGAAGCTGGCCATTTCTACATCTGTGACAAATGCCCAGCAGTGCAGGCCTTCACCCTGAAACAGGAGAGACTGGCATGTTTCTTGACATTTTGGGCTTAAAAATGTCAGCGAAGTTTTAGTGAAACTTCAAAATCCCCACTGCTTGTATGTTCCTTTCCTTTGTGTGGTTTCTGCTGGCTCCTTGTGAGCCCACGCTTGATGGCAGGAAGCTGGGCTGAGGCTTCAGGCAAGACCTGAGAAGCCAACAGACCCTCATGGTGAGAGCCATGTGAGCAGCAAGCGTACCCTCTCTGAAGCCTTTTTAACCCTTAGGTGGCAGGAAGGCGCCCTCCGTCTGGATGGAGGACCTTTGTCCTCCCGTGAGCCACCTCTGCTGGCTTGTGGCTGCCCTCAGCCAGCCCTCAAGGGTGAGGTCCTGCAGCCTCTCCCCACCAGAAGGCCTGTGACCTAGACCACGGCAGGACCGCAGCCTGCCCACCTCCTACCACTGACTGTTACTCTGTTCAAATCGTAACAGGGACTCAATTAGGAAGGTGTTTTGGTTTTTTTTAATCTCTCAAGGTGTGAAGTATTTGTTTACTGGATTCTACTTACCATGTAGCATAAATAAGTTTTCTTTTTAGGGCAGGAAAAGCAATGATTCCATCTCTCTAACTCTGTAGTAATGGGGCCACGTGGGGCTGGAACACAGATGTAATCCTGGTGGTTTTAAGAAAATGATTTTTCTGATAATTGACATTTCTGTTAATGAATACTTTGAATAAATAGCTATCCTTTCTTACTGATTGCTTTGGTCTGAATGACTGTGTCCCCCAAATTCCTATGTTGAAATCTTAACCCCCCACCCAGGTGATGGTGTTAGGAGGTAGGGCCTTTGGGGGTGATTAGGTCATGAAGGTGGAGCCTTATGAATGGCATTTGTATGCTTAAAAGAAAGACCCCAGAGAGCTCCCTTGCCCCCTACACCATGTGAGGACATAGCAAAAAGATGCCAGCAGTGAACCAGGAATCGGGCTCTCAGCAGACTGAATCTGTGGAGCCCTGATGTCAGATTTCCAGCTTCCAGGACTGTGAGGTATATATATCTCTGTTGTTTATGAGCCTTCCCATCTGTAGTGTTTTGTTATAGCAGCTTGAACGAACTGAAGCGCTGGTCTTGCAGTTCGTGTCAGTCAGTTCTTTTCCTTAATGCTGTTGGTTTATTATAGACTGGGCTCCAGAGGGAGTCTGCCAGCAAAATCCTCCCTCCACACTCAGACACAGATGCCCTCAGAGTGTGGAGGTGACTGACCATTCAGGGCTCTGGTTTTGTGTCCTGGATCTGTCCTATGAATCCACCAGGTGAGCATCCGGAAGCAAAGCAGATCTGGGTTTACCCACATGCAAGAAAAGTATAGAGGCTTGTATAGATGGCAGAGAAGTCAGCTAAGGAGAAGAGAGAGGAATCCTTGGAATGACCTCTGGAGACCTTTCTCTCAAACAGGAACAGCCAGCCAGAGAGAAGGGGGTGGCGAAAGGAAACAGGAACTCAAAAGCAGGAGTGGCAGGGAGAGGTGGCGGGAACCGTCCCCGGGTGGCAGCCAGAAGGACCTTTGTAAAACATCGCCAGATCAGCCCTCTCTCTTGAAAGCCTACCAGAGGTCCTGTTACAGGTAGAATAAAACCCGAAGTCCCTTCCCTGACCCTGGGTCCTGCAGGATCCAGCCTCCACCCACAACTTCCTCCTGCTTCCTGTGCCCCAAGCTCAGAGCCCAGACACATCTTGTCCATCTGCCCGGAGCACTCCGGCCAGATCTCGCATCACCCGCCCCCATACTGACTGCTCCAGTGTCACTTCCTCAGAGAGGCCTCCCCGAGCCTGTCACACACCAGGACAGGACAGGAATCCCACACCAGGGGCCTCCTCAGCCTTCTCTCCACGGGCCGGGCCTCCCACCTTTCCCTGGTCAGCGCGGAGGAACCTGCTCCCCGCAGACGAAGGCCGCAGAGCCTGATTCAGGGGCGTTGTCCTCCTAGGGGTCCAGGGACCCCAGGCTGGGGACTGGCAGCCAGGTGGATGAAGGAAGCTGGTAACTAGGTGTTTAAACAGGAACATTCCCAGAGAAAGAAGAGAGGGCAGGACAGTAAGCGGGTCCCCCAGAATATGGAAGGTGGGGGAAGTCACCTGAGTGTGAGGTGCAAGGGAAACGAGGACGGCGGGGGTGTCGCTGAAGAAAGAAGACCAGAAGTGGGAAGGGCTGGGGGCTCAGTCAGTAGAGCCCATTTTTTTGGACGCAAACACGTGAAGTGAAAGTGGGGCAGACCCAGGACCCAGGCCTCCCCAGGTCCGGGCGGTCGCCGCTTCGCCCTCGGAGAGGCAGAGGCGACGGCGCGCCCAGAAACGAAAGCGGCGCACGAGCAAGGTCTGTGCCCGGGGAAGGCGACCTCGGGCTGCTCGGCGCGTCGCTCTCCCCGGCCCGAGACGGAGCC